AGTTTAAGTGTAGGGGTATTTGATGAATGCATAATTAGCATGATTTTTATGCTCTATTACATTGAACTTTTTAATACTTATTGTATTATATTATGTTATTTATGAACAAAATGACGGTTTCAAGTTTTATAGGAAAAAAGATAAATCTAAGCAAGGAAACCTAAAACCTAAGGAGGAAATAAAGAAAATCCAAAAAAGCTTAACAAAGTCACACGGTCGTGTGAAATAACAAAGGAAATAGCTATTGGCCATGTGACTTAAAGAAGAAAACCATGTGAAGTCTCAAGCATAGCAAGCCACACGGGTAAAACCATTTCCATATGACTATGTGATTTATTAAACCTAGCAACACTCAAGGAAAGAAGAAGACCACACGGGCGGTAGGCTTTTTACACGGTTTGCGATGTAAAGCCACTCGTTTGTGTGGCTAAAGAAGAGAAGGTATACATGGGTAGAAGCTTGGCTACACGAAATGAAGAACAAAGTTACACGATCGTGTGCCTTAGTTAGTAAGTCGTGTGTAACTTAATTTCTAAGGCTTCAAAACATGTGATATCAAGCAACAAACCATGTGACTTTACATATCAAGCAATGTGACAATGTAATGTCGACACAAAATGTGATATAACCCTAGTTTTAGGTATAAATAGCAAAGTTAGGGTATTATTTGACTCCTCTCTTTTCATAGCTAGCTCTTCTATAGCCATTATTAATAGAAATTCTCTTTGTATTATATTATGAACAATTAAACTTCATTCTTGGTTGAATCAAGTTGAAGCTTTTGATTAATTGTTGTGAGATTACTAATTTTATTTCTAAACTTATCTCTATTGAGTATTTTATGTTTTTCTGCATGATTGATTCATAGTTATATAATTAATTCAATTAGAGTACACATTAGTTGTTTATTCGTATTACTTATTGCTAGCTAAGTATTTAAGTCCATATAATTGCTTGTTTAAACTTGCCTATGGTAGTAACTAGGGGTTGATGATTAGTGATGTTTTTGTTCAATTTCTTAAAAAACATAAAACTAGATTATATTTTCTTTAGCAATTTGGAAAATGGCTTAACTTTACTTATCTTTCTCATCTTAATGATGTTATTGGATTGAATCTATCTAGGGCTTAGTAGGTTTTTCAATAGCTAAGGAATTAATTGAGTATCGCATATTCAATTAATGACTAAATAAGGAAAGATTGGAGTCAACATATATGTTGTTATCTTATCATAAATATTCATGTTAGGATGAGTTAACTATTTAATCAATGATTAGCGATCAAACCAAAAGTGGATATTGAAGTTCAATCAAGGCTATTCACATATTATTATCTCTTGTTACTTTATATTATTTTCAAGCATCTCAAATACACAAACCTCCCTTTACACACAAGAATGCCCAAAGCAATTGACTAATTTTCTTTTCCTATGGATTCGATTCTTATTTGTCTTTATTACATAACCATGATTAAAAGCTCTATAAAGAAATTATAAATTACTAATTTATTGGTGACACAACACTCCATCAATTGCATACAAATAAAACCCAATAAACCAATTCAATTGCAAAGTAAGTAAATTGAAGAAAAATAATCTCATCTGATAGAACCGACAATCAAAATCTAACTGTTTTTAGGGGCTATTAGAGTGAGACTCTGTAAAAAAGAAAAATTCTCTTTTTTTCTTTTTCTTTACTTTTATGAGCAAAAGTTCGAATATTCATCATTGTAAGCGTAAAAATAACCATTTTGGAAAAAATATATATTGAGAAATTTTAGAAAGAAAGAAAGTCAAAAGATTTAAATGAAAATGATAAAAAAAAAAAAACCAAAAACCAAAAACCAAAAACCAAAAACTCACGTGATATCAATTTTCTTGCTTCCAACCTGCCATAACCATCATTTTTTCTCTATCTCCTATTGTATTTCTCTCATTTCTTTACCTAAATTTTTACAGAGAGAACCAGCATCGATTTTAAGGTTCGCGGGGAGTTTGGGTTTTGGTTTAAGAGGGGTGAGGATGGAAGTGATGCATGTGGAACGGACGGATTTGATGAGGAGAGAGAGTAAGGGTTTTCTGAAGGGGGTGAGGCGATGGAGAAGGAGTGAGGAGAGTGCTCGACAAAGAGAGAAAATTTTGATGGGTACGATTTTTTAGAGATAACATTGAAAACTTGGCAATTAGTTATTGGCTGTAGAGATTACTCAAACTCAATCTTAAAAAGTAAAACCAACGACCAAGAACATAAAAGAAAGATTCAACAGTCAAAAAGCAACAAAAGAAGCAATGGTGGAAAAGGAAAAAAAGAGGGAATAACAACAACATGAGGAATAGTGTAAGGAGGTTTATAGCAACAATAACATGTAATCTATCGGATGGTTTCTAGATAATTAATTTTGATCAGAGAGCTGAAACAAAAAATAAGCAAACAATTGATTTGCATAGTGACTTAGCAAAAAGACAAAAAAAAAAAAAAAAATAGCAGAAAAAAGTAGAAACACGGTGTTGATTAGTCTTCGTTTACAGTAATAATCGGTGTGAATGAATAGTAAATATAAATAGTGAACAGGTAAGATCTTATGAACATCAAATGGTCAGATATTTAGTTTTTTTTTTTTTTTTTTTTTTTTTTTTTAGCCAAAAACTAATGCTATAAACTTTCAGAGACCATGGTACCCCTTCCGCCCCAGTGTAGTTCCCTATTTCTCCAAATCTTTCTCGTAATGCGTCCTATTAGTACAACCGCTTTTATTAATTTTTAATTTTTTGTTATAAAAAAAGGTTAGAATTTGAAACCTTTTAAGAGGATGAGAGCACAAACGTTACTTGATTTACCGATCTTTTTACTTTGTTTTCATTTGTTGTAGAAAGCTAGTCTGGAAAAATCTTAAGGAAAGGTTGCAGGCCAATCCGATCTTATTATTTAATTTGTAACTATTACTATTTATTTATGTTTCAATTTCAACAACGGAGGGGAAAAAACGTGTGTGAGAAGAGAGAAGGGAAAATTCCTGAAGGAGTGTAGGTTTTTTAAAAAGGCTTTTTTTTTTTAAAAAAAAAAAAAGATCGAAGACCTAGGAGAGGGCTCAATGCCCTCCAGAACCCATGAAGGATAATTAAGAGTAACTCAACCAAGTGAACCTTATTTTCATAAGTCGACATATTAATTTTTATTATTGTAATTATTTTGGTGAACTGGTTCAAATTTCATTAATATAATAGAATTGCAGAAACAAAAATAGATTATTGTTCGCTGCATGCGAATTGCCAATGCAGTGGAAAAGTATGTGTATGTGAATTATTCTTACAAGTCCCGTTCTCAAGAATATCTAAGGCCAGGAATCAACGTTCGTTTATATATATATATATATGGCTGATCATTTTCTGGTAGGGACAGATAAGTGACTACTAGTTGATTGGGCTAAATGAGATTTATGATGTAAATCAATACTGAGTAGTGCAGACTGCACGAATTTGTATGTCAAAATCGTCCCACGTTTAACTTGTCCTTCTAGACACTTGTCAGGGAAAAGCTACTCAATTATTCCGTTGACTAAAATCCGGTTAATTATCATGTTACGTGAGGTTGATCTCTAGTCTGTCTTCCATTAGTTTAGGGCAATTCTACAGTAAAGAAATGCGAGATTGTTCATGCGAAGGTTGTCGTTGTCGAATTCTAAATGGATAAGGTAAGTATGTATATCTCGCTGCTTAGCTAGACAAACAGTACGTACGCTTCGGTGGTTGGTGGCATGGCCTAGAGCCGCGTTGCCTGTCGTCTCTCCCTTTTTATTACTGGTGTATGTTTTGAACAATTCAACTTTTATCAAGGAACCTGAGACTCTTTGGTATTTGTCTTTCGTATGAATTTATTTTTATTAAATGATTTACATTAATTATTTTATAAATAACATAAATTTTTAATGAAAATCTTTTTATTATTTTTTATAAATTCAGATGTGAATTTTGTATATATATCTATATTTTTTAAAATAGATTTATAGAATAATTATTGTACACTTATACTAATTATCTCATAAATATTTTAAAATTTTCTCTAATAAAAGCAATATATATATTTGATTTTAAAATTAAGATTAGATAAACTAAACCTAATCCCTCCGGTTATAATTAATCTATATAATTATAAATTTTGGAAAAAATTTTTTTTGTTAGTCTTTATGCTGGCTTTGGCTTTTAGGAAGTGATAATTTATGTGGATTATCACAACCTTCCTTCCAAATAATAAAGAAGCATATTATATTTGGAAAAAAAGAAAAAAACAGCGAAAAAAATCCTCATAAATTAGATGTATGTAAAGGAACGTCTTTCATTGGAACTGATTTTTTTTTTTTTTTTTTTTGGAAAAAAAAATAAAGAAAGGGATCGAGGAAGTCTACCTAATCAATTATGTAGTGAACATCCCTACATACAAAACGAAAAATCATTCCACTTTTCTCTCCCGATGAAGAGATACAGATGAATTAATCCACGTTTGTTTGACTTAATGGATGTCATTAAAAGCGGCGAGGAGGGGTGGTCCTTATTCGGCGAAAAGGGACGGCTCCTACCACCTCTTTTTCATGATATTACATGGACCAAATAAGCCCTTAAGCTCAAACAAACCGACAATCCATGTCATCAACTCAAAAATAATTACCCACATGACTTTTTTTTTTTTTATAATTTTTTTGAGAACAATCTTCATCATATTATAGAAGAATAAAAAGGAGGATTATTTATGCTGTTAGAAAGGTATTATCAGACCACAGTCAGAGTTAGCTAGGTTTCTAGAAAACAAATTCAAAATGGTAGACATCTTGATTGAGTAAAGATAATGGTTGACAGTGCCATGCCATCTAAGAACTCTTCACTTTTATTTATATTATTACTATATACTATATATTACTTGCATTATTATCACACATATATAACTGCTGTCATCACAAAAGTATTCTGACTTTAGGAACTATAGAATGATTATTTGTAGGGTAATTCTGTTATACACTAGTGTTTGACAAGTGGCATAGTGGGTCGGAGGATGATCTAATGGTAAAATTCCAGAGGTCGATCTCACTGTTATAATCTTGAGTTCCATGGTAAGATCTGTTTGATAATAACGAAAACGATGACCGTAGGGTTGGCAATTGGAGATCACGATGAAGATCAGTAGGGGTGGAATAAGTCATGGTGGGTTCAACAGGGAAGCAGTCTAGTTGCCTAGATGTTTCATTCTGGCCATTGAGCTGAGAAGCAACTAGACGATCTAGGGCTGACCAGTTGTCAAGGCCAGAGTCCAAGGGGTAACTCACCTGATTAGTTATTGAAGCTTCATTGTCTGTGATGATGGGTTGGAAACAATTTTGGCTGCTGACAGAGTTTGGACTCTCTAAGCTTGGAAGTTTCATGAATCTATCATGGTGGACATGGTTGATTGCTGTGTTAATAGGCCTGAGGTATCTAGCACTATTGTCTGCTTCGTTTTCTTCTTTGCAAGTCCTTCCCATGTAATGAAGTATTTGATCCAGAGAGCCCTCATTACAAGAATTTAACGTCTGGCTCCTTGTATCTTCAGTGATGGGTGATGAACTGAAAGGTCTGTCGAGGGTTTTGTTGAGATTTTTCTTCTTGAAGATACGGCAAACCACCCATCCCTCCTCCTGTCCTGCCTCTCCCATAACATTCGAGACCTTGACATAAATAAAACATTTTATTTTTTATCAACATATATAATCCAATCATGACCAACGACTCATTAATAGCAGCTTGACTACAGAACTAAGCTTACATTGGTATCACTGGTATTATCGTCCAGCCTGTATTCATGCATAATCCAATCGGATTTTTGTCCGTGTGGGGCCCGGCCTTTGTAGAAGACAAGAGTCTTCCTCATTCCAATCGGCTTACCGGTGCTGTATATCACCTTGTCACGGCCAGTAGCCTTCCAAAATCCAGCAGCAGTTGCACGATTGGTTCGCGTGCCAGTTGGATATTTCTTGTCCTTGTGACTAAAGAAGTACCAATCATTTTGTGGGGTGGTTCCTATTTTGCACCTCTCTGCAAGTAACCGAATCACATTAACATCACTGAACAGCACACATCTAATGCCATTAATCTCACGAATTTAGAAAGAAAACATAAGGAATATAGAAGCCATTAGCTAAGCACCTTGTATATCCCATGGTTCGAGCTTATTAAGATCAACATCCCGGATCACATCTAAGTCAATCTTCTCATAGGAGACCTTCTTCCTCAAGTAGTAATGCAAAAGCTCTTCTTCTGTGGGGTGAAATCGAAAGCCAGGAGGGACCTGGGATTGACCATTAACTGATATACTCATGTTTTCTGTCATTTGAGGGGGAAGGAGGAAGAGAGAACTGGTACAAAATATATTTGGGACTAGAGATAGTGGTGGAGTAAGTAAAATATTAGTGGTCTACCAAAATGAGTATGTATGGAGTACTATATATGTGTGTGCGCGCGGGGGGTAGGACATAAACGGCCAAAGATACATAAGGAAAGGTCTGTTTTCATGGTGATTATAGCATTGGTCTTCAAGTGGGTTCAGTTCTACTATGCATCTGAGAAGAGCAACCCACCTGCATAGATTGTGACAGGGAATTGTTTTCGGAAATTCAAAGTGGGTCCATGAGTAGGGTATCAGATTTAGGTCCCACAAGGACGTTGTTGGTAACTAGACTACAGGGGGCACGCCTCCATCGCAACTATGACACTCGACCTTAAAATCTCCATAGAAAAGCACCTCTCTCAAACAACCATAGACCCCTCTCTTCTCTCTCTTTCTACTTGTGCAACCACCAGAACGAGAATAAGATGATGGGTGGGTCTCTCTCTCTTCCTTTGTTTTGTTCGTGCAACCACCGCAACAAGAAAGAAATGATGGGGTCGGCAGTGCATTATCGTACCCCATTGAAGGGAGAGAAAAACACAAGAAAAAGCTATAAATACATACATATGATAAATTTTATAATGCTTAATGAGTAATTAATGTATGTAACTATGTAAAGAGTATAAACATAAACAAGAGATAAAAAGTAAAAAAATAAAAAATAAAATCAATATAGAAATCTTTTTTATAATTTTTTTCCATCTCAATGTGATTCTTTCTATTTTTATGCATTTATCTATTTCCTTAAAAGTCGACTCATGAAATAACTATTATTATCTATAATAATTGCTCCTTAAATATTATAAAATTTATCCATACATACATATGTATGATGAAAAAACCCAACGATTGATTATTCTATCTTGGCTAATAGGCAAACTATATTCGGGTTTGGCACATTATTCATCCTTTAATCAAATCATATATATATATATATATATATATACTAAGAGATCATTAGATATATAACTAAGGATTTATGAAAATATATTTACAATCCTATTCATTGAAAAAATAATTAAATAAAAAAATTTCATAGATAATTTTACAATCCTATTATTTGGCTAAAAGGCAAACTATTGTTTTTTTATTTATGAAACTTAAGAAGTATTTTTCATAGATAATTTTTAGACAAAAGGATTAGGATTCAAATTCTACCACCTCCATAACCAAATTAAAATTAAAAATTTTAATGTAAAATAATGATAACTTCGTATAAATTTTAATTCTAAATTTAATTAATTGGAGATGATATGCTATATGTAATGTAAAATCATATCTTTTCGAGCATTCGGACTAAGTCAATCTCTTTACACTAATATTTCTCACAAGCATAACATAATATTTGAATTATATTGGTTAAAGAGTGTTGTAAAAAAAAAAAAATTTGAATTGATATATATAATTATTTGAGTACTAGAGCTTCTTGAACTAAATGGTTAGAATTTGAACGAATTTTACAATCTTTATTTTTTTAAGAATAAATTACTAAAAACATCATGTATTCTCGATCGAGTATATATGATGACACAAAAGGAAGCAAATGGGAAAAGTGCTAATATTATATGTGGTAATATCTTGACCTCTAATCTTACTACATATGCATTGGTAGATTTAGATATCATGCACTCCTTTATTGCACAATCGCTATTGAGATGATTATGTATAACACTTGAAATAGTAAATACTATTTACAAGTTAATGCTCTCGTCTAAAGAGTCACCGGAATCAAATGTGATGGTTAGGAAGTATAAACTAAAAATTGAAAATCACGTTTTATATATCGACCTTATAGTCTTAAACAATCAAAACTTTGATGTTATCCTAGGCAAAGATTACCTAGGTAAGTATAGAATGTAAATTGACTCGTTTAGTTGAAAAAGTAAGGGTTCATCCATCGAGCGAGCAACCTTTTGGGTTTCAAGCTGGAACCAAGGTGAGACCTATTACTCTAGTTTCAGCTATGGTAGTCTAAAAAATGATGAGGTATATGATAGAAAATTGAGATGAATGATTGAGTCGGATTGATGAAATGGCGAGTTGTTCTTTCGTGGGCCAAATCCGACCAAGAATGAAATATAAAGGCAAAAAGGGTAAAGAGAAGTTAACATAATTTTAGAATTTAAAGGCATGAATGACATGAAAGTGATTACTTTCATGTGAAAAATGATTGATTATAATGCTTGTTATATTCAGCCATAGTGTATCGAATGATGTTATCCATGTTTAACGATGTTCATGTTGCATGCATACTAGAATGTTTGGAACATGTAAATGGTTTATTATGTGAATTTTACTTAAATGCAAATGCATATTATAATTATGAAAGAAGTTTTATGTTCATGACTTTAATACAAAGGAAAGGGAAAGGAAAAGTTTTCAAAATGAATGGCTTGGTACCGTCTTAAGGAAAAAAAGGCATACTAAGGGAATAATCTAATATATACTTTTAGTATATAAAACATGTCAAGAGAATGATCCGATGTACCTTGACATGTAAGGACACACTAAGGGAATGATCTAGTGTATACTCTTAGTGTGCAAAAGGAAAATGGAGACATGTCAAGAGAATGATCCGGTGTATACTTTTGGCATGTAAAAGGCAAATGTTCACACATCAAAAGAATGACTCGGTGTATACTCGTGGCAGTGAAGGAAATGAGGACATGCTAAAGGAATGATCTAGTGTATACTCTTAGCATGAAAAGTAAAATACCATGGGAAGGTACCAAATGCTTTTGGTGAAGCCTTTCACAATTACATGTTTTTATAGAAGAGAATGAATTTTAAAAAAAATGATATTGATTTTATGAAAGCTACATCACAATTTTAGAAAAGTTATACAGATTTAAAAAGGAAAGAACATGAATTTCAAGTCGATGAAAAAGTATTTTTGCAAATGGCTCTTATGAAGGGCGTGATGAGGTTTCGGAGGAAAGAAAAGTTAAGTTTGAGGTATATTGAATCCTATGAAATATTAGAGAGAAAAGATGATCAAGCTTACAAGCTAGCTTTACTACCTTCCCTCTCATAGATTCATGATGTTTTTCATGTGTCCATACTTCGAAAATACATTGAAGACCTAAACCATGTATTGAATAACAAGCCACTAGACCTCCAGAGCTAACATGAGTTACGAGGAGGGATCGGTACAAGTATTAGACCGGGAGGTTACGAAATTATGAAATAAAGAAGTTCCTTTAGTAAAAATATTATGGAGGAATCATGAGGTCGAAGAGGCAACCTAAGAAATAGAAGCAGAAATGCGGGCTCGGTACCTCGAATTGTTTAACGAGTAATTTTAAGAATGAAATTTTTTATAAAAAGGGAAGGATGTAATACCCGATACTTGTTAAAACTAATATTTAATAAATTTAAAAATATTAAAATCATATAAAATATATTTTATGAGCATGTTATGATTTTAAAAGGGTACTAGAATATTCATATGAGTTAAAATAGTTTTCCACGCTCGGAGAATAATTTGTTGATTTTTCAATGCTTGAATAGTGACTTTTTGCATCAAATAATTATTTTAAGCATGAAGAATGTGCGTAAAAAATGTTTTGTTTGTATAAAATATTTGTTAGAGGGGTGTTAGATTATTCTATATTATTGGATGAATTTTCCGATATTCTGTGAATGTTTTATTTGAATTTTATTGTGCATGAATAGTGTTTTTAAGGTAAATTAATTCTTTTAGGTGCATCGAAGGTACAAGAAAATTATTAAATGGAAATAGAAAAATCATTTTGGATGTGTAGGAATATTTTATAAATTTAGATGAATTTTTCTATGTATAAGGAATATTTTCAATAGAAAATAGTTTATTTTACACTAAATAATTAATTTGAACACCTAAATAAGTGTATAAAAATTATGTGAATGACGATTAATTTTTTTATGAAGAGTTTGAAGTTATTATAAAAAGAATTTGAAACTTTGAAATGTATGAAATGTATGAAATGAAATTTTAGACGTAGGGACCTAATTACATAAAATTAAAAGTTTAAACTTTCAAATTAAACTAAATATGAATTTTAAGAGTCAAAAAGGTGTTATAAAAACTTAAAAGGAAGGGTCTAATGTGATCCATTGAACAAAAGAAGGATTTATGAAAAACTAATCAATGAAAAACTATAGAAATTAGAGGACTAAAATTGAGTAATTTTCTTCCATCTTTTGCCAACTTAAGGCATTAATTAAGCTTGAATTTTAGTTAAATAAGTGGCTTTAATTAAGCTAGATGAAAGATTAAGACTAAAAGAAGGATAAAAGGCTAAAAATTAAGCCAAATGATGGGAATGGATTAAAAGTTGAATTAAGGGTCAACATTTATCCAAATTAGGGTTGGAGATTAAGTCAAGAAGTTCACCAAATTTTCCTATAAACATGAGTGCTAGAAAA